CTTAGTTGTTTAGTTTTTAGTTTGACCTACATTAACCTACTTACCAGTCGTTTAGTCAAATGCTTCCACAGTTGAAGTTATATTAGTTAACAATTATAATACAAGAATTTCTACTGTAAAATTGTGAAAATTAAAAGTTAGTTTAATGCTTGATATTCATCCAGCTCTAACTATCAACTGTATTTGATATTTTGCCTAAACACATATTTGTTAATAAAGTGTTTTGGGAACAGCTAAGGTCAGATACTACAGCCCTTGAACTAACTGATAAGTTCTCTTGAGTATTTGGGTCACTTCGCTTCATACATTGCTAAAGCTGATGAACTGTCCATGACCTCATTACTAATGCGAAGCCTGTAAACACACTCTTCTTCGCGAACGTGCTCCGTGTGTGTCATGGCTGTGGTATAATGAGGCATAAATATGGGAAGTACAGGTGCGTAAACACAAGCGTGATGCAAGCTCTTGTGAAATGTGAAATCCAAGTTCCCATAATGGCATCGTTTAGCAAGACAATGAGTCTGCAACCATGGCAACCGCAAAAGCCATGTATATGATTGAATGGTAATTATTGGTAAATGCTATTCTAAAAAGTATGAACAATAAGCAATTTTTGTCCATGAGAATTGCTACAATATATTTCTGACCCAATGGAGCCTGAGAAATACAGCGTAGAGAAGTCACCAGTATAGAGTATACATAATTCTGTGCCTCAGTAGGTTTCAGATGGATGGCAGGTCCCTATACAACTGACTATACATGGGATAGAAGGCATTTCTGAGAGACATTTCAACAAAGAAAATGCAATTGTTTTTCCTGATCCTTATTTGATAGTTGTTGCATTTACCAACTCGCCATGTTATTCTGACACTTCTTCTGACAAAAGTTCAATATGTCTGTTTATGTTTACGGCTGCAAAAAGCCAAAAAGCTTTATTCATTTTATTCCCATGCCTGAAAGTTCTCTCTCCTGGCCAACATCCTGCAAATGTTTTTTGAACATTGTCACCACTTTCAGGCACCTATTTATAAGAAGAATATGTATGTATGTATTTATTTATTTAACTCCACATTGTACAATTACATTTCAAATAATGTCTTTTCTCACAAATGAATAGGAGCAGAAAGAAGAAAATAATCTTATGTTGCCTGTAATGTAAATTAAAAGAAAATAATGAGGCCATTACTGAAATTATATGACAAAGTTGATATTGAAGCCCCTGCTGTACACTATGGGAATGCTGTGATGTCACATGCTCACCATCCATTGTTTTGCTTTCTCCTCAAAATTGACACCAACCACTAAACAAAAATACATTATAAAACCCAGCCATTTCCCTTTTCAACAACCATTTTCTTCAAGAGTGCTCAAGAGAAACCCATTTTAGTGTATTAAGTGTATTGGCATGTTCAGCGCTGCAGAAAATTGAGTGAGGTGGGGATGTGTGTGTGTGTAGAGGGGGGACAGGTGGTTGGTAATAGGCTGTGCGACTGAAATGGACTCCAGATTCTAACTCCAGATTCTCAATGACAGTTAACCTTTGCAGATCTGACCAGACCCATCCACTTGCCCTCAGATCAAAGCCGTTTAAGTCTAAGAGACGGATGTAGGGCACGGTAGAATTGTGGTGATATAGTGGGATGTAACAGTTTAGAGGGAGATCTGTTTCTAAAGCCTGTATGTGCACTTGTGTGAAGATGACTGAGATCATAGGTGTGAGGTAATGGATACATGATAAAATAGACAAGAAACCGAGATGGAGACACACAGAGAGGAGGAGAAAAATATGGAGAGAGATAGAGAGGGGCAGACGGAAAGACGAAGAGTGAGACAGAGAGACAGAAAGAGGGACAGGCAGAAAAGGAGAAACATGGAGAGAGAGAGGAACAGATAGAGACAGAGGGACTGACTGAGAGAGGGAGAGACAGCCACATTCTAACAGAGAGGGAGAGAGACCCAGAAATGGATTTATAAAGGGGTAGAAAATGAATGAATGAAGGAATGCTTGAGTGTTTACAAACCCAGCCATCAAGTCCATTGTTTTGGTCATTTTTAGGAGATCATGAATTTTCTCCAAATTTTTTTACACAAAACACACTGTTTTTTTCCACTTTTGGTCCAAGGTTGAGTGAATCTTTTTTTGTGTCAATTATTGTTAAAGCTGCACTAACTGACTTTGGGATTTTGAAGCCACGGACTCGCTGGCCTCGCTCTTTCTGCTCCCCTCCCCGCACCCACGAAGCTATCGCCCCCCACACACACCCACTGTTGTTGACGGAGCTAATACATGGATATGGATTTGCACGTGGATGGCGTGACCATAGAACGATAGAACTGGGAAGCGCGGAGGAACGAGGTTTTCTTTTGGATGACTGTCTCGCTGTGTAAGCAGTAATCGGTGACGAAGACGAGGAAGTTTCAGGTTACCTCCGCCGCTTGTTGTGCTAACTCAGACCTGTAGATTTCTCACGATGCACTGTGATTGGTCACCATCTGCGACCCGAAACACATTCTCTTCCTTGTTTCATCAAAACTCAATCTAAAATATAATGTCACGCCAGCACAAATCTGCCCTACTTTTTCTTCAAAAGGACGTATATGCCAATGCACTGCATGGACATGGATAGCATTATCGTAATGAATACAAAAATAAAGTCAGTTAGTGCAGCTTTAAAGCTTATAATATCATTCATAATCTCCCAAAAATGCTCAAAAAGGAATCACAAGTCTGCCTGGGTGTTCTAAGCACAACTGTATATTTTTTTATTATGCCATTTCAAACCATGATTCACCGCCTCATCTCTACAGACAGATGTTAGCAAGACGTCCTGTTCACCTGCCTCGGCATTTTCTAAATATTGCATCCATAAACCAATAAACAGACCTGTCTCGTAAATCTGCTTTTGCATTCACACCAATAAAACCTCACCTTGTCCTGATCATCTTTAGGCTCAAGATACAAAAGGGATACCTAATATATGAGTGTTTATTGTCACCAAATCCACAGGCCTCTCCAGATGTCTCCAACACCTGCCACTGCTGGTTACACAGGCTTTACATCTTAATACTGCTTTATTAGCCACTCATGGAAAAAAGCCTGCAATTCACTCAAGCCGCATTACACTTGTCCTTGCTTCACCTTGCCATTTTTTTATTGCTCTTTTCCATGTAGTTTATACGCTGTCATGAGTAATGGCTATTTACTTCAGTGTAAATGTCGTCACGCGATGGGGATTTTATACTGTATTTATGATGCTATACAGCCGGGAATACTTAAAAAGATATTGTCGTGAGCTCATCCAATGACTAAGGCTTTCCCAGTCTCTCACTCCCTCTCCTCTATCCCTGTATCCCCCCTCCCTCTCTCTCTCTCTCACTCTCTCCATTCCTCTGTCTCAGTCTCGCTCTCTCTATCTTGCTATCTCTGTTTCTCTCTTCTGGTCTCCCTGTCTCTCTCCATCTCGCTGTGTCTCTGTCTCCCTCTCTCTGTCTGTCTCTCTCTTCTCTCTCTCTTCTCTCTGTCTCTCTCTTGTCTCTCTGTCTCTCTCTTATCTCTCTGTCTCACTCTCTCTGTCTTTCTCCATCTCTCTCTCTCTCTGTGTCTAATTTTCACACTGCAACAACATAAGACAAAATCTGTGTACATTATACATTATCAACTTTATTATGACTCCTATCTATATTACTACTTATCTCTAAGCATTAGTTCTTCTTGTAATGTTCCGTGTTGAATATTGAAAACTCAAAGCCACTTTAGGTTTTAACATTTAATTTCCAAGCTGGATCAGGCCATCGCAGTAAGCCTGGTTAATATTGTATTCAAGTTGTCATAGGCTGTTACCATAACCTTATTAAGTGTGGCCATGCAAGGTCAAAATTATCAAATATTCACCAAAAACGTTGTGTGGGTGCAGTCTGAGGTTTGGGGTTTTTTTTCCGACCAACTTTAACAAGAGGTGGAATATTTCTTGAAAAAACGAAATAAGGACTATTCAGAAATAAATGTAATGCAGTATGTATGTATACCTTGTTTGCACCATCAAAGCAAATTCCTAAACCTCTGTTTACTTACATGGAAATAAAAATATTTCTGATGAAGATTTTGAGACATTTTCAAGCCACGCTGTATAATCACATAAACTAAACGTTATACTACATAGAGACAAGAGTTCAGAGATGTAAAACGTTTTGTCAGTCTGCCTTCAATGTACAAACACAAACTCAACATTCACTCATTCACATCCAGGTCCCGGACATAAATAACGTATATGCCCATGATCCAGATACCTATGTACTGTTGCTTTAAGCCTGAAGTGTAAACTCAGTCCTCAAAGGATTGGTATGACTGCAGGTTTTCATTCCAACCAAGCGGGAGCATACCACCCATTTCCTTAAGTCTTGAGGACTTTAGGAAATGGGTGCAGTCTGGTGTCCTCCTGCTTGGTTGAAATGAACGTTTGGCCCCCCTGCATTAAGCCATAACAATTTACAAATAACTAGTGTCACTATTGTTTATGTCTCTATACCATTGGCATTACTACTTACTAGGAAATCCAATAACCTATTTAGAAAGGGGTATTAAAAAATAAGTACTTTTTCAAATTGTTCATTCCCTAGTCTGGTTTGCCTTTGTCCATTGTTACCTCTAAAACTTTGTAATCATCAAGCAATAATCCTGCCCCAACTTTTTAAAAACTAATTTGCCTTTCAGTTCCGTGTGCTGTGACGTGTATGGACTTAGCCCCAGAACAAACACTAACGCTAACTCCTGCAATTGTTAGTTTATATTTCGCCGGAGAGTATATGACAAGCTCTATATACCGCTCTGAGTGTGTGTGGGGGCCACCTAACAAGCAAAGTTGTGTCGAGAAGAAAAGTAGCGCGTCTGAAAGTGGCCTTAGAGCTGAATATAATCAACTCCAAAAGATAAATGCTTTACATCAGAGGGAGTCGTAAATTTACACTGGAATGACACTCTCTTCCACTTTTTTCTTTCGCAGAGTCTTCCTCAAGGCCATTAATCAGTATGCAGCGGTGCTCAGCAAGAAGTTCCTGGATCAGACCAGCTTTGAGCTACAGGTAAAGAGCTAATAGTATTTCAAACTGTGTTGGAAATAGGTCTAAGGTTGAAAAATGTTGTCTATTAGGGATGTAAAAAACTATGAATTTTCATGACCGACCACCGAGCCTCATTAACCGGTTGAAACCGGTTAACCGCGTAGTTTAAAATAGTCCACGTTCTTTGAAATAACAGCCATTTCGAGCCGCGTACTTTTCATAAGTGCAGCTCTGCGTTCTACTGGATCAGAGCTGAGACAGCGGCGCCCAAACCCGCAACAGCTCCGGCACCTTTGCGCACAGAGAACTGCTTTTTTAATCTTCCCATTCTGCTGTGCTGCGGGTTAATACCAAAACTTTCTAGCAGCAAACGACGGCTCGTTCACATGGTCAGAGCAGCGAGTGACGAGCCGCGTCTCACAGGTCTTCACAAAAGTTTAAATACAAGTGATGTGTGTGGAGCTGATCCCGAGGACCATAAACACAAACATGTTCCATGTGGTTTGACTGGAGCCGTGTATTTGTGCGAATCCTTTGTCTGTCGCGCACAGAGGAGCGCGACAGACCGGTATGTGTGTGTGTGTGTGTGTGTATGTATATGTGTGTATGTGTGTGTGTGTAAATGTAAGCTCCAATGTAGTTCTGACCCGCGCCAGTGTGCAACTTTCACGGTAACAGAGGGGAGAGATGATGCGTGTGGATGTTACGTATGGAGAGGGGGAAAGTGTGTGTGTGTGTGTGTGTGCACGCGTGCGTACGCGTGCGTGTGTGCATATGTGGCTCGTGCGGCGTGAGAGTCGTCCCGGAGTTTATAATACATGGGCGCACACAGCTAGATACAGACCCGCTCGTCACACCGTGCAAATAGGGCTTAAAATAGCGTTATTAAGAGACCTCCCCTCTCCCCTTTTTCTCTTTTTTAACCGACAGCTTTGACCGGTTAACGCTGTGACGGTCAACCACCGGTTAACCGGTCACCGATTTACATCCCTATTGTCTATGTCTCTTTCTATGTAAGCTTTTATTTATATACCGCCTTTTCACTGCACATCGGAGTCTCAAAGCGGTTTACAATTGTTATATTTTTGTTGTTTTTTTTTTTTTTTTTTTTTTTTTCTCTCTGTCTCTGTATGTACAGTATCTCTCTGTTTGTCTCTCTCTCTCTGACTCTTTCTCTATCTCCCCCATCTCTCTCTACGTCTCTCTCTCTATCTCTCTCTCTCTGTCTTTCTGTCCCTCTTGTCTCTCTTTCTCTGTCTCTCTCTTGTTTCCACAATGCACCAACATAAGACAAAATAGATGTTTTGTACATGATTTTAAACATATTTTTTCAATTGATTTGACCTATTTCTAAGGATTTACTCTCCTAATGTTCTGCTGTTAACCTCCAAAAACCCAACAGAAGTTGCAGACATAAAAGTTGCACAAAAAGAACATCAATTACGCTGTAATGGTCGGCAATTTAGGCTGCATTTCAGAAAACTTTAACCTTCTCAACCAGCTTTTCTTCAGTCTCTGATATACAGCTGTGATTATGGGGAAAATAAAAAAGCTTTTAAATCTTTTATGTTGGAAATGGGACTTCTTTTAGCTTGTTTTTCACTTTGACATTACATGAATGTTTTATATATCTTAAATTGGAGATAATGTACTTTTACATTTTTTAAGATGTTAAACTTTTGGAAGACTAGCACTGGATTAGCCTGACCATAGCCATCCGTACACTCCGCTCAATCATCATTTCACTACATGTAACGTCTGGGTCTGGTCCCTGTGTTAGCGAATACAATCGGTCGTATTTCGACCAGCTACTCAGAGCGCGGAAGGCGGGTGTTGTAGGTCGGTGCCGGTGACGTCAGGAGTTTGTGCCGAACGGGCAGGTTGTAGTTTGGCAATGGCGAAGAATGCAATAGTAAAGTAATCCGGTCTGGTTCTATCGAGAGATTGAAGCAGGAGCGATAGGAATGTTTAGCAAATGTAATCGCTGGTCAAGATTGTGGCGCTACTCCCCACGGGCTCCGTTAATGGCCAAGGAGATGGCTAGGCGAAATGTTAAATGCTAACAACAGACTCGAGCGCACTACATACGTCACGGTAAACTCAGATCCAATTGTTTCAATCTGCAAAAGGAATTAACCCCTCCCACCTGTTAACGGACCTCAATGGAGCAAATCCAGACCTTAGTATGAAATGTAATTTGTACTAAGGTGTGGTACAACCAGGCTAGCACTGGATAGACCTATAGGCTTTTTGTACAAGGAATTTGCTTTGATATACTATTTGATATATTGTACCTTACCTCAAAGTGAACCTTAAGAGATTAAAATGAAAAACAGTACATTTATCATCATAAAGTTAAATTTGTCTAAAACTTATTCCACAGTATGAAAATCTATACATTCAGCAGTTATACCTTCAAACCACGTCTTATAAATAACAGCCGGATCCAGCACAGATCTGACCTCTCCATGGAAACGATAAATAGAACCATAAAAGCGTTACACACAGCCCTTTAATGAACTCGCTCTGACACTCGCAGGTGTCACAATTGTAATTATGTGGGTAAGCCCAAAATGCATGGAATATTATTATGCTAATGTGTGCATGTTTGAGGAAGTGATTTTCTGAGATGGGAAAATGGTAGAAAATGTTTGAAAATGTAACAATCCCTATGTCTGCAAAGATAGAATTATGTTATTTCAGATTAGAGGTGAGGAGACGGGTCTTAGTAGTGTTATAGAATTGTATACCCCAAAGCAAGGAGAAAGCCCAAAAGTATTTGTCTTAAATCAGGAGCGTAAGTTTATTGTAACACACGTGCGGAGAGCTAGCATATCCAAAAGGCAGCATACCCAGCTCTGGCTCGCAGAGCTCAGGCTTCCTGTTTACATAGAAAGACAGTCACGCCCACAACAGATGGGAGGGGGCCACCGGTGAGGAGGCGCATAGGGAGCGTTGGCGCCATCCCCTGTGGTGACAGTGGCATGGAGGTGTGAACAGACAGACAATGGAGAAATGCAGGCATACAGATGCAAGACGCGAAAGACACAAGGGTGTGACAGACAATAGAGACCTTCACAAAGCTCAGCATGGCGTCAGAAGGTTGTCTCTGCATTGATAAAAGGCCTTTTACGTCCGTGTATTTGCTGCGGCTGGTTTTAATGTAATTACTCTAAAAACTGTCATTACACTCCCCTCTTTTGATAATTCAAAACCATTTTTGCATTAATCAGTTAAATACCAGAGGCATCGTAATCACATCACCTTCAAGCTTGAAACACTTAAATTATTGCTGTCCAAAGTGGGCAAGAAAAGAAACATGCTTGTCAATAAAAGAAAGAGCACATTATAATAACACAATGGATCCGGACAGCGATAAGAGAAGACAATATTAACATAATAAACACGGTCAGCACGGAAAGTAGTGTCAGTGTGGCCAGTATAACAGTCCAAGGGCCCATGCCGGTCTTAGCCGGGCTACATTCGGTAGTCTTTTCCGCGGGAATACTCACGAACAGTGCCGTCTCGCAGTCAGTGGCACCGCTCCCTATGAGCGTGTGTGGAGCGTTAGTGGTCATGGCGATGTTTGGTCTTGGAGCGGCAAGACTCTAATTGCGTTGAAGCCTTGGCCTCAGCACTCGGTTGGGCAGAGTGCTCGGGGTTTGGGGTGTGGAGACCATGGCTTGAGCACGCTCCAGATCGGCCAGGCCCAAAGCTCGTTTGATGGGAGACCTCATGACAGCACGCTTCACCATGTGCCTCATCAGGAACTGTAGAGCAGCCCTCATCTCCACCTCCTCCGGACACACGGGAGACGAGACACCAGGGGGCACTCCAGCAGAGCTCAAATCTGCATTATGGCCAGAGGGAGCAGGCTCTGGAGAAATCTTTGGAATGAGCAGCAGCTCTGCATACTTGCTGCAGCTGAGCAGAGCGCTCAGGGCCTTCATGGCTCCCAGGCCTTGGGGTCCGGGGGCTGGGGAGTTGGGCAAAGGGGGGTCGCCTCGGGAACGCTGGGAATCTCTGGGTGTTGTTGTTGGCCTGCTTCACCGATGGTGGTCGCACGCCGGCCGACCTCTTCAGCGTAGGGAGCCGCGGATGGGCCTGGTCCGTCCGCGCCCTTGGTGTCCTCGTCTATGGCCCTCAGTGGCAGCACCGCATGACAGTGGTTGGCGTGGATCCAAGTTGTCCTCTCCGCGACCTTAACGGCAGTGTCCGTCACCAGGAGGACGAGGAATGGGCCGAGCCAGCGCTTGGACCGCCAATGCTTTCGTCTCGTTTCCTTCACCAGGACCCAGTCGCCTGGCTTGATCCTGTGCAGAGCCGCCTGCGCAGCCTGTGGCAGGGCGCTCCTGACCTGGGCAGAAATAGAGGACAAAAGTGCATTAATTTCCTTACAATAGGACAGCATGTCGTCATCACACAAAGAGGTGCTTGGCAGATCTCTGTTCGGGGGTCCCGCGCCCAAGTTGGGTGGTCTGGCACAGAGGATTTCGAATGGGACTCTCATGCGCATGTACATGAGTGCCATTCTCTCGCTCGCACGCGCCTCCGGACCAGGGGGCGTAACTGCAGTGTTTACGTATATCAATGCCCAGAAATTCACCCACTTCCTCAATGACTTTTGCTACAAAGTGACTGCCATTGTCACTAGAGATTTTCCCTCGGGACACCCCATCGTGGCACAATTTCTGTGAGCAGAGCTTTCACCACCGCGTTGCTCGTGGCGTGTTTGCATGCAAATATTCAGTCCATTTGGACCAGAGATCCGCCAGACCCAGACAGTATTACTTACCTTGGCATGGTGTGAGTTCAACAAAGTCCCTTTGGACATGTTGAAATGGGCGCAGGGGCGGAGGATGAGCAGCCTGTTGGATACTTTTGGGACTTACCTGGGTTGTGCGCGAGGCATATAGCGCATGTTTGGCAGAATCTCTGTGCAAATGCCGTAAACCCCTTTGTATACCAATTTTGTGTGATTAAATCACACATCCCTCCTTCTGAGGCATGGTCTCGACCAT